CACCCCTCACCTTGACCTATATTTCCGGTTCCAGATTGGTTGTGATCCATCTATCGGTCTTGTCCTAGTCAATTTTTTATTTTGCTAAACCGTCCATCCCCTCCCTCCCCTGCCCACTTTTTTTTCAGCTTTTAATGGACCTACAACTTTTAAGTTTCTTCTTGAAAGACGCAATGCAAAAAATGATCGAAATAGGGTTGGGACCAATTCTGACTGATCCCAGAAAACGCCCGGGAACAAGGCCACTCTACCCACCCTAATCTCGGTTTTAATATCGGTCGATTCGGTTTGAAACGGATTGGAATCACGATTACAAAAAAAATCACACTCCCTCCGTCCCAAATTGAGTTGCAAATTTGACTTTTTTGAGTTAAACAATTTCATTTTAATCATTTAATTAAGATATCAATCCTTAAATACATTTTACTTTGAATTTTGAACCTTTATAGAGATTTTAATTTAGTTTTTGAATATGTAAATTTTAATAATTAAAATCGAATTATTTATCGATAGGGATGATTTAACTTTAACATTGGTTGAAAAAAAATGTTGACTTTGCAAAACAAATTGAGGCTGAGGTAGTACACTAGTACTGTGTTTCAGTTCTGTTCATTTCGGTTTCGATTTGTTATGTTTAAAAACATTAAGAATTTATTGACTATTTTGACCTTATTGAATTTTTCATAGTTTCAAGTTGCTTTAGTTTGGTTTAAATCGATTTGAAAAACATATTACCAAACTCAAACTCAATTGCATATGGTTTGGTTTCATTTTAATTTCGTACAACTCAGTTCACTCACACCGAACCAGTTTTGTGGCCCCTAAAAATACACCCATGAAACCTCATTCTGCTAAAGCACTAGTTATTGAGACCCGTTAAGTAACATTGCAGTTGGCAAATCGGCTAAAGGTGCTGAAATTATGAAATTTTGACTGAATTGGATGAATTTTCTAATTCTACTAAATTATGGAAAAATCATACTTCGTATATAAAATATATGTAATTAATGAAATAAAAAATAGATGCAAATTAATGTAAATTATTCTTAATCTTTTACTTTATATATTTAGTATAAAGTTTATTCTGCGATCCAACTTTTATCAAATTTGAGTTTTTTCGCGTCTTTACGATTCTTTTAATGCAATTTATGAATATGTAATTTTGTTTAATATTTTTTTTTAATTATTAATAAGATCATTTTACTTTATGACCTGTCAAACGTCATAAACTCAACAGGGACCGGTACCCAGGCGGGAGGTAAACCACCATCTCTCAGGGGTGGATTCGGGCCGGTTCGGGCCCGGTTTGGGCCTAGGCCCGGCCGGGCCTCGGGTCTGTTTTGTTGGGCCCGAGCCCGAACCGGTGGCCACCGGTTCCGGGCCGGACCGGGCCGGTCGGGCCACCCGGTTTAATTTTTTTTTTTTCCTTTCTTCCCCCACCCCCCCAAACCCCCCCAAACCGGCCTAAACAGATAGCCCAAGCCCAACAGCCCAAAACAAATGAAAAAAATTAAAAAAAAATAGATTTGGCCCGGACCCGAACCGGCCGGGCCGGGCCGTCAAAACCATGAACCGAGCCCGGAACCGCCCCACCCCCGGGCCTCCGGCCCGAAACGGACCCGGATAACCGGGCCGGGCCGGTCCCGGGCCGGACGGCCCGAACCGAGGCCATGCCTGCCATCTCTTATTTTAAGCATCAAATGGTTTTTCTTTTACGTACCAATCTGGTAAACCACCTTTTTTTTACCAATTTAGTAATTTGACCAAGTTGTCCATGGGCGAATACCCTTTTTTTAAAAAAAAATCCAATTGCAGGCTGAAATCTCATATATAATAAATTGGTTTAGAATCACTAATTATATTTTTGAGGTACCTTTGTAAAAAAGAATTACGTAGTATTATTCTATTTCGTGCCCGTTTGGTAGCACGAAAATCGGCTGATTTGGCTGATTCTGTTGAAATTTATGAATTTCTGGTTAAAGTGGTTGCATTGACTAATTCTGCTGATTTAAGAAAAAATTATTTTTAAAACATATTTTATTAATTAAATAAAGAAAAAATTATAGGTAAAAATAGTTAAAATAGTCATCTACAGTAACTTCGGTCAATACAGCCAGAAAAGTAACTCCAATCTTACTTTTTCTGCTTATTACACAATTCAGCGCGTGAAAGCAAAACTTTTCGTGTTTGGTGAAAAAGGTGGCTCATAAGCCTGATAAACAAAAAATAATGTTTTAAACGGCCTCTTCATGAATCTAATGATTGTTAATAAATACGTTGTCACTCTTTAATTATTCTAGAGCATACACAGATAATAAAAATAAACTCCTTATTAGGTACTTCCCTCCATTTTAGTTGACTTTGTCAACAATCTTTTTTGTTTTTCTCAAAAACTTTGTTACTTTCCTTTTAAATAAAAGAACTCGTGACTTTGTTTAATTCTCTCTCATCTGCACAAACTTCAATCGCACAGTTTTTCTTTTTTATTTAATACTCAACTTAAAGTTGGTAAAATTGAGAGGTACAGAGGCTATATATACTTTGTGTTTTTTCAGTATATACTTCTTCACCAAATAAAATCTATACCACAAAAGTGTGTAAAAATTTAATTTTCTATCATTTTACGTGTAATTATATTGTCCTTCGGGATAATTTTTAAAGATATTAGATTAACTGTTCAGTAATTTATATTTTAAAAAAATATTACATTCAAAATTATCTATTAAAAATCTATATAGAGTAATATATAAAAGGAAAGTGACAACCCCAAGAATTAAAAAAATATGTAATATATAGAGAATTATATGCTACGAAGTACTCCCTCTGTCCCGTAAAGTTCTTGTTCTTGTTTCGGTTTATGATATTTGACGATATAACAAATTGATCCCTGTCAATACCCAAAATTATGTTTTGTAAATAAAATTTACATATTCAGAAATTAAATTTAAAAATTCTACAAAATCACAAAAGGAAATTTCAAATTTGATTTTTTTTTTAACTTTTTTCTTAACAAAAAATGAACATAGTCCAAGTAAAGTTTTATTATGGAATATTTAGTTATTTGTAGAGGCTCCATGAATTAAAATTTTGTATTTTGTGTTTTTTTCAGGATCAAGAAAACTCCAATAGTTAAAACTTAAGATTTGTTTTTTTTTTCATTTTATATAATTACATATTGGTGTGTCATATGAAAGATAATAAAATTCATAAATTTTGATATATTTTTTGAAAATTTTGGAGAACAAATAAAAAAGTTATAAGAGTTTTAAAAAATTTGGGATTATAATGATGCAAGGATGACATCATCCTCACACCCACACAGTGCATTCTCGCCCATTCCCTTCCCTATTTCTTTTCTTTTTCTTGTTTCCACTCCTACCAGCCCACCCTCTATTTCTAATACCTTTCATCCCCTTTTCCACTTTTAATACCCTATTTAGGGTCTGTTTGCAACTGCTTTTAAAAAAGCACTTCTCAACTTTTGACTTTAAAAAAACATTTATTTTCCCAAACACTACAACTTTTATTTTTCTCGGCTTCCGCGTCAAAAGTGCTTTTACTTTTTCTATTACACAAAAAGCACTTATTTTACCAAACACTACCCACTTTTACTTTTCAAAATCACTTTTTTCTCAAACACTATCAACTTTTATTTAATCACTTCTCCTCATTTCATTAAAAAAAGCACTTTTTTAAAAACAGAAGCTGTTGCAAACAGGCCCTTAGCCTGCCACTACATGACATGAAATTAGGAGTCCAAAAGTTCCATCTTTAACATTTTGGACTCCTAATACTACACCACTCCAAATGGCCTAATGGGAAAAAAGGTCATTTTTCTTGCCAACATCAACCACGGAGCAGCCAGCCTAATGGGGAAAAAATAATTGATGACCATTAGGCCCAGATTGGGCCCGACCCAAATGGTCCACCAAAATAGGAGCCCGATGCCCGCCTCATTCTTTTACTGGGTCAGGTCTCAAGCCTGCACACTCGCGGGCCGAGTCAGGTAGCGGGCCAGGTCGGGTAGCGGGTCAGGTCGGGTAGGTTCGTCCCAGTCCATCTCCTGTATCATCTATTTCGCTTGATCTGGTCTTGACTATTACTTCGTACATAAGTATTTTACAACTGTCGAAATCCGATACTCTGATCCAATCTAGACTGTTTAGTCTATCTATTAAGGTTATGTTCGACAAGCCACATAAGCTCAAAGGGAGATTTTTACCTTAATAGGACTAAAACACTGTTTTCCCCCCGAAATAGGAGCACCTAGTTTAAACATCCTTCAATAGGACTTTTTATTAGTGATTGGACCAAAATACCGCTAATAGCCTTTAGCCAAGGATTGCTGAACCGCCCGCCGCTGCCGCCGGACTGCTACCTACCGCCTGCCACCGCCAGAGTTTGCCGCCGTCATAAACCGTCGCCGTTGCCGAGCTACCACCACCACCAAACTGCCCCACTACCAACAGACTATCTTGGTGGTAGCTTTTTTGCCAAAATAGGAGCACCTAGTTTAAACATCCTTCAATAGGACTTTTTATTAGTGATTGGACCAAAATACCCCTCATAGCCTTTACCCAGGGACTGCCGGACCACCGCCTGCCGCCGGATTGCTACCTGTCGCATGCCGCCAAAGGTCCGGCCGCCGGAGCTCCGACCACCGCCGCAGGAAAAATCCAGATTTTTTTCTGGCGGTCTGCCAACATTCTCCTGCCGGCCGCCGGCTGCCACCGCCAGAAACCGTCGCCGCCGAGCTGCCGCCACCACCACACTGCCCCGCTACCAACAGAGTTTCCGCCGCCGCCACCGGAATCCGCCACTGACCGCTGCCAGAGTGCTACCGCCACCACGGACTGCCCCGACACCGACGGACTGCCTTGGTTGTGCAAGGAAACTATGAGGCAATTATTTAGATCAATTAATTAATTAAATAGAATTAGGGATAAAAAAGGTAAGGTTAGTCCTATTTAGGGAAAAACATGATGTGGTCCTATTTTGGGAAAGGTTGAGTTTTAGTCACAATTTTCTCAAGCTAAACAGTTATTCAGTTAATAGTACAAATAATGTTGCTTCCATAAACACGTATCATATTGGCAACATACTAGGACACTGCAGCTCTAGGAAACAAGGCACTTATTGTTCACTACACAATCTAATTAGCACATTGTAATGATCGTTTGACAACATTCATCGATTACTGCAAGAAAATCATAGCCTTACAATAATGTTTTGTAGAACTATTACACACATCAAGAAGTGCTTTGGGTAGGATAACAGGCTAACAGCTAACTTCTTCACACAAATATCATTGAAATTGCTCTCATTAGTCTAAGTGGAAGCTGACAAAGCTCAAAAGTCCTGCACAAACCATAGTGAAATGAAGGGACATATAAAAAATATCAGGACGTTTCAATTCACTCCAAACCTTCTAGTAATGTTTTTAGAGTAATTTATTCTCAACACCTAAATACCACATTTAGCAACGAATTTAAAAAAGAGTGCATAAAAAAGGTCTATCAAGTATGCAAACTCAATTCATTCCAATGGGCTTTTGACCACAATCATAAAATAAACCTTCAGTTGGTATCAAGAAGTACCAAAGAGGAAGTGGGAAGAGTAAACCCAACAATAAACAATGCATTTTTCACTCACATATGAAACTGTAGATGCTGGTTTAGCAAAGCACATTTAGGGAGTTTGAAGAATAGATAATAAAAATAAATACATTTCATTTCAGGTGTTAACAAACAGGTATATAAGTATATCAATGGGATAGAGAGCACTTTTAGATGGTGGAATCGACAACCTTATAAAAATAGAATTATGTGAAATGAAAACTTGTTCAAAAAGCAATAAATCAAAAGATAGGGCAAACTTCAACAGGCATACAAAAATTGTACTACGCAAAGACTATTAGGAGAAGATGACTACTGTTCAGCGTAAGCTTATTAAGGGGTTAAGAAAGGACGTCTATGCGGTATACGATGTAGCCTTTTTTAAAGTAAAATGTGTAAGAAAACAAGAAATTCTGAAACAAGCAGCCGTAGCACTATGATCCTTAATTGGATTAATTTAGGTTTGGCACGACTTTTAAGAAATTAGAGAGATTTCCGTTGTATATCTCTAACCATTTAAAAAAGAAATACAATACTGGTCCCAACAAAGGTAAAAGGGTGAAAGACTGAAAGGATATCAGGGTAGATAAAAGGGATGTGCTGGGAACATAAGAAGTTGATGGACTTTATTTTAGGATAGTGAACAGTCTAAAAATGATGTGTATCATTGTATCTACAAATGAGAATTACAAACACCATAAGACTTCAGAGATACTCCAACAAAGCATGCTTTGAGTGTATACTATCATGGAAGGCGAATGAATTCAAAACTGAAATACATATACATCAAACCACACATAGAAGCATAAATCAAATGATACGCAATGCTTAGAAATGCTTGCTAGAGCAATCACAATCCAATGAAAAACAATGCTGATGTTTGAAGAAGAAAATTTACGATAGGAGATCATGTTTCACAGACTTTTTTTAGTAGTCAAGAATCTAGAAAACTAGACATATGTTATAAGCCTGTATGGTGAAGGTTGTTTGGCCGAAATGATCAACTCTTCTGAATTTTCTTGACGGAAAAATATTATGCTAACTACAACTACATACGTTTTCTACACAATCACTTATTTATCCTTTTTCTACATGCCTAAACTAAACCCATACCCAATAATTTCTTTCTTTTCCTTCTTTTGCTTCCTGATCTTACATTTCTATCGACATTTTTTTTATCAGATTGAAGCCTCAGGTTAGTTTGATTGATTCTCCAATAATGCTATTCTATGAAGTTCTGGAACACAATTCATTAGGACTTATTTTTTTGTGGAGCATTGCCAAAGAAGGTTTATGACATTATTATGCTATTTATTAGTCTTGAGTCAGAGTGCATGATCATTGGTTCATGTGGTCATGGTTTTTGCAGTGGTGTGTGGAGTATAATAGTAAATATGATATATCATTTCAGTTTTATGAGAGAAACGACTTATTATTTCAGTCACAGATTTTAAGAATCCACTTGATTAATGCTGCAAAACAGGGTGTAATGAGAACCTATCTTTCACATCAAAATCACTGCAATATAAACCTGTAATTTACTTACTAACCCATATCACTACAACCAACAAAAAATACAGAGAACAATCTAACTATAAAAAAGCATCCTTATTAAGGGGTGGAAATGCTTTAAAGCAACAAAAAGGAACAAATTTTACCTGGTTGAGTTTTCTATGCAAGGGTAGGGATCATCCCCGTCTTCCTAGCATAAGCAAAAATCCCACCAGCATCAATCACAGGGCCAGCATCCCCAATGGGTTTCAGCTTGTATTCCTTTCCACTAGTATGGTTGATTAACCTACTCTCACCGAGCTCAAGAGTTACCACATCTCCAGTCTTGCACTCCTCGCATATCCTCACATAGCATTCCACAGGATAGATTTCCCCTGTAGACACCGAATTCCGAAAGAATATACGGGCATAAGACTCGGCAACCACAGCGGAAACCCCGGCAGCGCCGAGGGCAACAGGGGCATGTTCACGAGAGGACCCGCATCCGAAATTATCACCCCCAATAACAATTGAATACTTGGATTTGTATTCGCCAGGATCTATGAATCGAGTTTGGTACGATTCTGGGAGACCGCATAGGGCGTATGAGCCAAGCTTTTTGTATTCCTCCTGCTTGGAAGGGACTAGGGTCAGGTACTCAGCAGGAATGATTTGGTCAGTGTCGATGTTGTCTCCGACAACGTAGCAGAGGCCGTGGAAAGTGGTAGATGGAGCGGAAGCGGTGGATGTATCAGAGGTGGAAGCGGATCGGAGAGGAGTGACGGGACCGTGAAACCGGGAAAGAGTGTAGTGAGAAATTAGGGGCTGAGAGGGATAATTTCGGGTAGATGAAGCAAGCTTGACATAAGGGAAATGAGAAAGAATAGTGGCGCTGTTGGGTTTGATGGAGGATAGGTTGAGAGGGCAGGTGCGGAAGAAGGTTGTTGAAGCCGCCATTAAAAGTTTAAAACTTTGATCGAGCAGTCCGGCGCTCTATGCAGGGGCAGATCTGGATTTGGCATTTAGGGGGGCAAAATTTAATTGAACAACGTATATTGACACAAAAAAGTCAAAATGTTATCTATTCTATTTATATATAAGAGAGTAGACTATTAAAAATACCATTTTACCCCATTATTATGCAATGTGTCTAGCTACCAATATTTGAGAGCATTGCAATGGTACTAGGCTAAATTTTTATTTTCAGTTCCTATTTCCATGTCTAAAAAATAGTAAAAATAAACAAATTATTTTTAACAGAAATATTCATATCAACCACTTAGTCTTCTTAAACACATTTTAAGATTCATGTCAACCACTCGGTGTTCTTAAACACATTTTAAGGACAAAATTAACAAAAAGCGGGGACCGATTACTCTTCTTAAACACATTTTAAGATTCATGTCAACCACTCAGTGTTCTTAAACACATTTTAAGGACAAAATTTACAAAAAGCGGGGGACTGATGTACCATAGCTGCTCAATGCAGATACTGTTAAAGTGTTACTATCTCTAATGGAAGAGGCTCTAATAATTGTAATTCAGAAAGTAATGCATACCTAAATCGGCAGCAAACATTAATAATTGTATTGAAGTGTGTATATGCAATTATGCAGTCTATATCTTAAAATCCAAAATTGGTATACAAAAAGTCCAGATAAGCATGGTTTTAAAAGGCGTTTCGCATCTACGCCTCAGAGGCGCAAAGGCGCAAAGGCGCTAACAAATAGCCTGCAAGGCTTAAGCCTTACCTTCCACTAACAAGGCTTACGCCTTTTTTTTCCTGAGGCGGTGATGCGGTCCCAGTGCGCAAGGCTTAGCTGAGGCGTACGAATTTAATTAAATACAGCTTGGGCTTTTTTTGAACTATTGGGGGCCTTTATTTTTAAAATTTAAAAAAATACCTGCAAGTTTAGGCGACACACGACATCCCTAAGTTCGGATATCGCTGCCTTCCACTACTTTGATATTAAGAAACGACTTGAAGGCTTGAAGGTGAGTAACCTCGACCTTTCACAGCTTTAAGTAAATATAGTAAAATATCCCACCGCCTACAGCCTACTTGGCTACTTATATAGTTTGTTGTAGTTGTTGTTTAAGTTTATTTATTTAACTTTTTAATTAATTTAAAGTTCAGGTCTGAAGTGTACTAGTCTGCAACGTATTTAATGCCTTTTTAGCCAGCAAACTATAAAAATATCTCACCGCCCAACTACTTGTTAGTTGTTATGACTTATGCTATAAAGTATTATTATGGTTAATTTATTACTTTATTTCAATGTTATTAATTTATTACTGTATTATTGGCCTACAGTTTAAACCTTAAAGTGATCATAAAACTATCAATTAGCTTATTTTTTTTTAAATACGTATCACATACTTTATTACTAGTTTACTTGGATCAAGATGTACAATTTAATTTAATCAGAAATATTATAATTAACTTCATTACAGTTTGGTTATATCTAAAACTCTAAGCTTTTATGTTTTGTCTTAGAATTTTAGTGTTTTATGTTCTTTTGAGTTTTGACTTTGGTATTTCAATTTTATGTTATTCTGACTTGGATGTTTTATTGTTATGTTATTTTTACTTGTGATTTTGTTTAGCTGTGATATTGTTTAACATTTAAGCAATTAATTTCGAGGCTTACGCCTTGTTACGCCTCGAGGCTTACGCCTCGTGAGGCTACCATCAAACGCCTCGGGGCTCGATTTCGCCTTTCAAAAGGTTACAGATAAGGGTATGAAATGTTGAATAATTCAATGTAAGACAGAAATTTGAGTTCACTTAAATGTCTTAACTACCTAGTACTCAACATTGTATCATGTTTCTATCGATCACCCAGGAAAAACAGTAATATAAACAATAAGGTAAAGATAGGTCGCTGAAAAATGATTCCCTAACGTTTCTACTTTCTATATGGATAGCACTTAGACACAATGTGAATATAAGAAGTAAGCTTCAACAATTTTGAGCATAAACAAGTAAAGCAATTTTTTTAAAACCCAAACATGAAATCAATATAATGTGAAACCCACGGTTCTAACCAACTTGCAGAAGTCAGAAGTACGTCGGAGACGGTGGACAGTGGCGGTGGGCAGCGATTTCTCGTTCGATGCTTTCCCGCTGGCCGGAGAGTATAGTTCGACCGTTCAACGATTCAACCTCCAGGTAGTCTAACTACGTTAATCGAACTCCTAAACGAACCAGAGACGGGGTCGAAGGCTAGGTAATCGAACTCCTCTTGTAAACGAACCAGAGACGGAGATGGTAGATCATAGATACGGCGAGAGTGACTCAGAGAATCTGAGATGGTTTCGGCCTTGGGGGATTATACGGGACACGAGTAATGGGCTGAAGACTGAAGAGCTTAAGGGCTAATGGACTAAGCAGCCAGAGGCCCAACGGCAATAACATTTAGAAAAATATTGCACATATAACGGGCCGGGCCGGGCCGGGCCAGGTACCCGGCAGTTTTATATTTTGGAACCGGCCTGGACCTAAAAAATTGATGCCCGGCCCTACCAGACCGTGATTTCAAGACCTGTTTGTCTACCCCTACTCACTATTATAATGTCACTTGAGATTCAAAAATTAGCAAATGGAAATGAATGATTAAATAATAACCACATCGAGTGTTAAACTGCTAATTAATGAAATCTCTAAAATTATACTGATCTAATCTATTTATGTTTAGCTTAATTGAAGTAATTTTCTGGCTGAATTGACTTAAGTTATTGTATGTGTTCATTTTTAATTACTTTTCATATAATTTTATGCTTTATGTCATTAATAAAAAATATTATAAATTAATGTATACATAAATCAATAGATTCGACTAATTCAACCACTTCTCTCAGAATTTCATCAATTTCAACATATTCATCTAATTTCAGTGTTACCAAACGATCTCCAAAATCCAAATCGGACAATGAAAGTAATAATCATATCGGTGACTAATAGAAAAGGACTTTTTGATATTTCATTTTACTATTATTCCTTCTTAAGAGAAAGGGGAAATTTTATAATACTGAATTTATTATAGAAAACTTTCTTGTTTTATGATTTGATGTGCATTTGATATATTCAAATTTGATTTTATTTGTCTATTTTGAGTTGGTCTAAATTGAATACCATGGGAGTATTACATGTATCTTTTATTTGTAGAATTTGAATGAATATGGTCTGATAATAAATTAATACGGATCTATGTGAGACATCCTAAATGTAATGATACTAACTTAGTAGTAAGTAGTAACGACTGCTGATTAATATAGAGATTTTTACTAAAAAATTAATAAACTTTTGGATAAAAATGTTTATACATATTCATTTTTAGTTTAAAAGTAAGTGATATTCGATTACCAAAAAGTCGGTAAATTATACCGTACACCCGGTTGTACAGTACTCACCGTACAACCGGGTATTTTTGCAATTAATTACAACTCCGGTGGTAAAAATTAGGGATGGAGAAGGCCTTACGACCTCTGCTCGTTGCTCGCTAATGTCCTGGAAATCGAATCAATTGATGGAGGAGGCGTCGACGTTTTGTGTTGTTCGCTTGCTCAATTGCTGGAGGCTGGTGAAGGAGGTGCCGCTTGGTGGATTCCTGGGATGTGTGAAGGTGGTGCGGCTCCTAGGAGTTGGATGAAGGTGAATCATGCACGTTGTGTGGCCTAAGGACCAATTTCAACTTTATATTTTAATATATACAGAGTATTATATTTTAATATTGCGTGTTAATATTTTCAGCTTGTCAATTATTAACATAAATTTTATATTAAATTGAAAATGAGTATATTGTTTATAATAAATGTGCATAACAATTAAAAGAATTGAAAATACATAAGTAAATATTTGATCACATTAGAAAATTTAAATGAGTATACACTAATGAAAATTTGAGTATACTATAGATTTAAATGAGCTTTTTGAATTTTTTATTGCTCATTTCATAAGTTATGTATGCTCATTTGATATTGGTGTAATGCTCATTTTGAAATGTCATATTCATGCATTTTTCAAAAGTATAATATTAGATTAGATTCGCATATTGGACTCATACAGATTCATTGTAGGTATTTTAAAAAATACGGAGTAAGAAAAATAGAATGAATTAAAGATATGAAACGGAGATTGAGATGTTCATTATTAGATTCCTAATACTCAAAAAAACAGGTCTCATGCTCATTAAAAATACACTAATGTTCATTAAGTGAATGTCACAAATATCATTTAAATTACTAAAATGCCACCGCTGTACGGTGCTCACCGTACAACTGGTTGTACGGTATAAGCACTCCAAGAAGTCCGATGTATGTCATGCTAGAGCAATTCGAATTGATCTACCGTACAATTAATAAAAGTATGATGTTATTTTCATTTTTTATTCTACTCCCTTCGTTAAACTATTATAAACCTTATTCCTTTCTATTATAAGGTCCGAGAACAAACCTCTTTCATTGCTCCGCAGTGATTGTGACCATTGGTTCGGCCTCAATCCATTTTGTGAAATAGTCAATTGCAACTATCACAAATTTCCAACCTCCTGAGCCCGGGGGGAAGGGCCCAACGAGTTCTATTCCCCACCTCGAAAAGGGGATCGCAGTGCTGATAGGATGATATAGGGTGGCGGGTCTGCCTGGGTTCGTTTGAAATTTCCGGCAGACCTCACACCTTCGCGCAAAGTCCACGCAGTCCCTTATCATTGTAGGCCAGAAATATCCTTGCAATAGGGCTTTTCTACTTAGGGTAAACGCACCTTGATGGGACGAGCAAGTTCCTTCATGTAGTTATTTTATTACTTGTTGAGCTTGTTCTGGCCTTAGACACTTGAGCAGCACGTCATTGTAACTTCTTTTGTATAGTTTGCCATTCTCAATGACATAGTTCGGAGCCCATCTTCTGACCAACTCTGCCTTTTCCTCATTGGAAGGCAACGTTCCATCCTCCTTGTACTCTATCAACTCTTCGACCCAGGATTTTGGTTTTGGCTCGGCTGAGAAAACCTCGAGGTCTTTTGTGACCTCGATGCTAGGGTTGTCCAGCTCCTGTATCCGGGTTATGCGCATAAGGTGTTCAGGCGCGCCTTCAGTCAGCTTTGATAGAATATCTGCCTCGTTATTCTGGTCTCGAGGAACACATATCAGATCTGACTCCTCGAAATGTTTGATAAGTTCCAGGGCCGTATCTCTGTATTTCTGCATTCGTTCTTCTTTGGCCTCGTATTCCCCTCTAAGTTGCTTGATAACCAACTTAGAGTCGCTTTTGACCCTCAGCTTCTGTGCTTTGAAGTGGATTGCTATCATGAGGCCTGACAGTAGGGCCTCGTACTCAGCTTCATTATTAGAGAGGTTAAACTTGTATCCGAGGGCATGATAAGTTTTCAAGCCTTCGGGGGTGATGAGGACCACCCCTCCTCCACAACCTTTGGACCCTGACGATGATCCATCGGTCATGCGGGTCCACCAATCTTCTTCTTCGTGTCTCTTTTCTTGAGCCAAGTCTCAAGCAGTACATTCGACTAGGAAATCTGCCAAGGGCCTTTGATCGATGATCTAGGTTGGAAACTTACTTGGTATTGGCTGATTAACAAGGACTACTTCACAATTCTGGCTGTTTTAGCCGTCCTGAACAAAGTGCCTACTCCCAGGTCTGACAGCACCTTGATTGGATGAGCCTGGAAGTAGTGTGCCAATTTCTTGGACGCCGTGTATACTGTGAGCACGGTTTTCTCCAGGGCTGGATGTCTGAGCTCAGCCCCATGAAGGACTTTGTTGATGTAGTAAACCGGTTTTTGCATCGTTCCTTCCTCGCGCACTAAAACGGAGCTGATGGCACTTTGTGTCACCCCTAGGTAGAGAGTGAGGGTCTCGCCGGCCCCAGGCTTGCTGAGCAGCAGGTCTGATTGTAGATATGCTTTCAGGTCCTCAAATGTAGTCTGGCATTCTGGGGTCCATTGGAATCCATTACTTTTCTTCAGGATTTGGAAGAAAGGTAAGGATCTTTCCGCCGACTTGGATAAGAATCTTCCTAGGGCTGCCAGCCTCCCGGTCAAAATTTGGACCTCTTTGACACTTTTGGTGGGTTCCATGTCCAAGATAGCTTTTATCTTCTCTGGGTTAGGTTCGATTCCTCTGTTTGTCACCATGAACCCCAAAAATTTCCCTCCTTGGACCGCGAAAGTGCACTTTTAGGGTTAAGCCTTAGATTTACCTCCCTTATGATGCTGAAGACCTCACTGAGATCGTCTACGTGATCGGTTGCTTTTTGCCTCTTCACGATCATGTCATCAACATATGCCTCCATGTTTCTTCCTAGAACTGATCGGAACACTTTGATACCATCCTTGTGTAAGTAGCTCCCGAGTTTCTCAATCCGAAGGCCATGACTAGGTAGCAGAAAACTCCCTCTGGTGTGACGAACGAGGTCTTCTCAGAGTCATCCAGGTGCATCGAGATCTGATGGTACCCTCTGAATGCATCCATGAATGAAAGGAGTTCGCATCCAGCGGTTTGATCCACCAGCTGATCTATGCTCGGCAGGGGAAAAGGATCCATTAGGCAAGCCTTGTTCAAGTCAGTGTAATCAACGCACATCCTCCAGGTAGGTGGCTTGGGTGCCAAAACCACGTTGGCAAGCACTCTAGATATTGAACTTCCTAAATGTGCTTGATGCCCAACAACATTGTTACCTCCCCCTTTACGAACTCTTTCCTATCCAAAGACAAATACATGTGTTTTTGCTTGACAGGAAAAACCTTTGGATCCATGTTCAGATGATGAACTGCTATACTGGGGTCGAGTCCTGCCATGTCCTCAGGTCCCTAAGCAAAGATTTTTCTGAACTCCACTAAGACTTGGATTATTTTTGCTCTCAGGTCGGCCTGGAGCCCTGCACCAATCTTAATCTGGCATTCTGGCCGGGTTGGATCGACTCCGACCTCTTCAAGCTCCGAAGTAGGTTGGGCTTTGAATTGCCCTTCTTCAAATTTCGACAAATCCTGCTCGATAGCATTTACCTTTGTTTCATTTCTTCCATTGGCCTTGCAATCCCTTACGTAACAACTCCTGGCCATTTTTTGGTCTCCTCTTACTGTGCGTACTCCTGCAGGGGTGTAGAATTTGAGGCACAGATGAGCCTGGGAAATGATAGCCCCCAGATCTTCCAAAAGAGGTCGGCCCAGGATTGCTTTGTGTATAATTGGCGGCCGCACAACCACAAAGTCCGTCTCGACAATCTTCACACACGTTTTCGATCCGAGCTAGATCTTGAGGGTGATAACCCCCTCAGGTTCAATGGTATCCCCGGTATTACCTGACAGTGGGGTTTTGACCAGTTTGAGGTCTGTCTTTTGGAGGC